ATTCGAAGTTTCTACATTAAACTATTCAATTCAAAATACAATACCTTTTATCTTTTGGCAAATTATCTACATTTCATATTTCTATTATTATATGGAGTACAGATTGAAAAATTTGTATAGAGAAAAAAAAAACTAAATAAATTTGAATTTTTCACCAAGTAAAACACGTTTTTCTTTTTTCTTACTATATGTACTGAATAAAAAAAAAATTCTATCTAACTTTTCTATGATTCTCAATGAATGCGTAGAAATTTTCTTTTTAATTAATTGTTTAATCCATTTATTTTCTTTTTCTAGATGAGCATAGAAGAGAAATGAAGAAGATATTTCATCTTAAATAATTAATAATTGTTATCTGTCGAACAATGTTGGTTTATATTTAATCGGTTTCAATAAATAACACTGACATTTTGACAGATCGTGCATCTTTTTTGAGATCGTCAGAATAATAATAAGAATTAATGCTAATTTATATATAATAATAGCTACGACAATGAGTACATTGATAACATGTATACTTCATATTGTTCTGAATAAGATCAAAGCAAAAAAAGTTCACTAATTCAGTTTATAAATGATTTTTACCCATCATATGTTATCTATTTAAATAATACAAACTTGGATTTCATGATAAATGGGAACTATCGAATAAATCTGTATTGCTTTCTGATTATTCTATTTCTTATTATCGCATTGAATTCAATTTATGAGTTTAAATGGATATTTCATATTTTCCTAGTTATATTTATGATACTGAATGTATGAATCTTCATATATGGTACCAAGTAGATGCATTTATTGTCTTATTTTTCTCATTGAACAATTCATATATCTTATTTTTTGTTCAATAGTATACACATAAACATGAATGTTGACAGAAACACATTCAGAAAAAAGTATCTTCGTATGTTCATTAGTTATTTAATGTTCCTGGTTTTCGGTGATAATATATATTACTTTGATAAATATTTAGTTATAATTATCGAAAAATTAATTTTGAAATAAAAATCTTTCCTAGAAACATGCGTTGATAAAGAAATCGCTAATAGAACTAGTGCACAATTTATTGTGATAAGAAAATATATTGATTGTGATTTTTCGAAATGACAATATCTATGTTACTAATCTTAGTAATTACAAAGTCAATCCTATTATTCCAGGTAAATGTTTTGCATCATTCCAAGCATATGTCAAAGAGATATATTTTTTTTTGACCAATTATGATACTCAATGAATAATAATTATTTGAGCTCTATATTTTGTCAGGAACTAGACTTCTTCAAATGTTTCTTACAATGGTATGATTAAGTATACTTCTTATGATACGTATCTCTATTATGAAGTTTGCGCTGACAAATTGACATAATTAAGAGTCGACCAGCTCTCAATTCAAACTTGAGGTCAAATAAATGAAAGAAATACCGGGTGGCCCAAAAGTAAGGAAAAATAATGGGTATCTAATAATAACTGATGAAAAACTGTTAATGATATTTTTCATACTTTTTATTGATGTAAAGAGCTGAAATTTTTATTACATATATATCTAATTAACACTTTTTATTGCTGAAAGTTTTAGCTCTCTACATCAATAAAAAGTATGAAAAATATCATTAACAGTTTTTCATCAGTTATTATGGGATACCCAATATTTTTCCTTACTTTTGGGCCACCCGGTATTTAAGGAGATCAGATAGCATCATAAAATCTTTTCAAACAGTTTCGCTGATAGGAACTGATCTCTTTCAACAGTTCACTTCTTGAAACAGACTTGTCCGAAAAATTTTGTTTTGTTTTCGGAACGACATTTCAGTAACAGAACAAAGATTTTTCTTTCTACTCGGGAGTGCTATTCCTGAAAAGAGGACAACATTTTCTTAAATCTGGAAAAATCTCTCTCAAAAATAGAACAAAAACTCTTGGGACAGATTAGAAAACGTTTTCAAAAATTTCCCAAATCTGAATTTAGCAGTGAACTTGTCGATCTCTAGACACAATATGATGTTAAAAATAAAGAAAATAAAATTTTATTAATAATAATTCTATCAGAAACTATACATTATATATTGTCATGTGTATCAGTAAATAGGACATCTACGATTACATATTACATTATTTGTAATTGTCTAACCAAGGATTGTACGTTGATGCATTATTTCTATTTCCTAAATTTCCAAGGCTGAGGTATTATATAAAAAATTACGTATGAGTTTAAATATATATACGAAAATTTTATAAGAAGTACATATGATCAAACAATTGTAAGAAAAAAATTGAATAGACCTCAAATAAAAACAAATGATCATTTTTCAATAAATACTATAACTAGAAAACAAAATCATATTTATTGGATATATGATTATGGAAGTTTAAAGCATTTACTCGATACATTCCTGTTGACTGATTCACTCTCATATTGTGCAAAAGTTTGAATTCGTATATAGCTGTACTCATATTCAGGATACGATGTTAGTTTTTGTCAAAAGTTATGTGTGAAGTCAAATAACAACGTAACATCAATTATTTATAATATATTTCTGGATTCTATTAAAGTTTAAATGGACGTGCAATCCTGTTAGGCATTATTAAGAAAAATCTAAAATATGATTTCTTATATAAATGATTATAGTTTATCTATTTTTGAGCAATACCTATAAAACAAAATCAAAATCGTAGCAAGATTTTCAAAGTAGAAATCTCAGTAATTCTAATATCAAAAGTAAGAAAAATAAAATTTTTCTGTGTATTACTTGATGCTACAAACTTCGACTAATATTTCAGCGTTGTTACTGTTCAAAAAATATATCTAGACATAAGAGCTGTGATACCGTCTTTCGGCATCACTACATTTTGCATTCATGAAAAATATTCAACGATTATGGCTAAAGCTAGACTTAGAATTATGCAATATTGACTTTTTCCAGTCATGAGCAGTTACGATGAGATCGAGTCAATCTTTTAGATTCTTACCTAGAACAGTTCAAAGTCAAAAATTCATGAATTATTCAAACAGATCAGCTTATAGAAACTAGAGTGTTTCAAAACTTCTCAAGGTCAGAATAAAGATGGAACTGTTCGACCTGTATGATAACAAAAAAAAACCAGGAACAACAATTACACTTGAAAAAATAATGAACGCGTATCATGAAGAATTCATTTAGTTGCATTAACTTATTAGAAGAAATAAAAATCTATAAATGAGACAAACTCATTTTGTTTCTTTGGCTGATTAAATTATTTATTTTGATCTGTTATATCCATTAATGTATGTTATTTAATTATAACAATGTAAGATTAGGATTGTTTCAATTTACTGAAGTCAACTATATTCCAATATTGTACAATAATTACTCATTGTGTCTGATGCCTTTATTACCTATTAAAAAATCCGAACATTTTTATTGAAAATAAATATAGAACTAATCATCGAAATTATCAATATAAAAGGACAAATAGTGTAAAAAACTTTTTAAGTCGATCCTCTCCCTCAAAAGAAAATCAACTTTCGTAAAAAAATATAAAAATTGAGATAAATGCATCAGAAGATAGTTTGTAGTTTGGTCTTCTATAAATGACACGATTTTTTATTTTGGCACTACATTTTTTCCAAAAACTTTCCATCATTTTCTGCTTGAAAAATATGTTTTTTTTTCAGAAAAAATGCAAAATCTTTTTTTATTTTTTCTCTCTTTATGTGTTTTTGATCGTGCATTCCAGGATTCTCGCAGGTGTTTCATTACAGCCAATGACTACTTTTTGTTTGAAAAAAGTATGTGAATATCCAGGGCATGACAGAGCCGATTTTTTTGAATTAACCCTTGTTACTATTATATAGAAGAGTACTTTTATAACTAGAGTGTCATATTTTGAGAGTTTTTCGAGACATTACACTTGTCGTTTTTGTTCTCCTCTTAAAAAGTAAGAGTTTAGAAAAAAAAACGCTCTATCATGTCCCACATGCCGCCATGCTTTTCCAAACAAAAAAAATATTACGTATATAGAATGAAGATCCACAAAGAATTTTCGGCTCCCGAATGAGCTATTTTTGACCCTTGTTAGTTGAATATCTCCCGAAAACATTATGGTATTAGGGTTGAAAATTTTATTATAACTTTCTAATAGGAAACGACAAAAAAATTGAAAAATCTTCTCTTGAAATAGTTGTAGAACTCGTCAAAAACTTAGTAGCCGATGTCAGAAGGTTTCATGAGCGATTACTACTGAAACAAGAAAAAAAAAATGAATGAAAACTATTTATAACAGATGATTTATTGTTAAATCTTTTGACATTGTATTACATTCATATTTATTTCTGTTTAGTTTATTGCAAGTTTATCTGTAAATATCACATTGATAAATCCAATAGTCAAGTGAATTAATCATTGTTTTTGTAAAATAAATGATAGAAAGTTTAAAAAAAAACACCTATGAAAACATTTCGAGGTATTAATTTACACACAAAATCTTTTATGAATAATATTAGATGAACATTTTTTTGCTACATAATATTACCTTTCATCGATTCTCATCTTATAAAAAATCAAGAGATAAATTTTAAATTATTTTAAAGCTAAAAGTTCTTCGGAAATCATATTTTCAGTTGAAAGTCTTAATCAAAGAAAGAAAAATACAAATTCATCAAAATTCTTAAATAACTCATTAACTAACAATTCAATTTAAAAAACAAAAGATCATTTATGTAATCTATTGTTTTTGAATGATATTTATTTCTTTATCTAAGATTTAATATCAATAGAGTTTCTATACTTATTCTTCTTATGATTTTTGAATTAAACAAAAAGAATTTCAAGTTCTAGAACTAAATTAATAAGCCACGTTAAATTAGTCTACTTTGAGAAGAAGTTGAATTGGCAAAAATTTTCAAAATATTCTCTCGAGAAAAAATATTTTCACATGAAATAAAACTCACGTATCAATTATGATTTTTCTCATATATAATTCTTGTTTAAACATATATCTTCCAGATCTAATTTAAGATTTGAATGATTATAACCTTGTAATTTGTATAGTAATCAAAATCATATAAAACATAAATAGTATTACTCGTTATAAGAAGCGCCATCTACACACACACAAAAACAAAACAAGCATCTATCAAAGCTATTCAAATGATTCTAAGAATTAAATTTTATTTAATTGATATCTATGATTAATATAAAATTACTAAAATAAAAGAATAAGATTTCTTCTAAACATAAAAACAAAAGGAAATACATAAAGATATTTGAATCTTTTTTTTTTCTTCTTTATATTCCATATCACTAGTACAAGAATGTTAATATGTGAATGACCTAATTCACTTTCTATTTATCTCTATCATTATATGGTCAATAGCAACATTACTTCATTTCTCATAAATCAATATATATATATATATGAACGGCTTCTCGTGTATCGCCAACACTTTTTTTTTCTCTTTCGTTCGCACATATTTCTACATAGAAAAGAGAAAAGACAATTGATCACCATCACATATCAATATCCATATAGCACATCACTACCGTATCTGTCAAAACATTTTACACTACAATTGCTATGCTATGTGAACTTTGCTAGTGGTAAAACGAATGACATGTTATAACAGGTGTGTGAGCAAGGAGCGCAACTGTTCTTCCTTCTTCTTCTTCTTCTTCTTCTTCTTCTTCTTCTCCTCCTCTTTTTTCTCGTAGTATAAAGCAAGAGTAGAGAGTGAGAAAAAAAAATCCGAGAGAGAGATTCATTTTGATTGGTTAATAAAAAAACGCTAATGCAAAAATTTCTTTCTTGCTATTTTTTTTTCTCTCTCTCTCTCTCTCCGTTATGTGTATGTTATTGGTCTTGTAGAGTGTGAACAAGCATAACCAGATGTATGTCTATACTTGACTCGTCGTCGGTATTGTAGACCAAACTCATTGATCCTAATCATCATCAAATTATAGATTGACATCATATATATAGAGAAGACAAAAAGGTAAAATAAAGAAAATAAAAATGAAAGTCAATCTTTTTGACATATATGTATATATAGACTAATATTGAAGATCTCACAGGGTGGTGACGAGAACGAATAAAAATATGATCCATGACTTCGAACTGATGTTGTTTATTTGATGTTAGGTCACATGACCATGCTGTTTGTTTGGATAAGCGAATCTTCCTACTGATTTTCGTTTTTTTCCATAAAAAAAAAAAACAAAACAAAATTTCGCTTCTTCTTTTTTTTTTTTCTCTAATGATTGTATGTTTAACATAGAAGAAAATTCAATATTTGACATAAGTTCAATTGACTTCAAATAAACATCAACCGGTGCCATACAATCATTATCAATTTTCTTTTCTTTTTTTTCTTCTTATTTGACATATGACAAGACATATTCGTGTGACTAAACGCTCATATACCTACACATAAAAAGAAATATGTTCTCTCATCTTAAAGAGTATGTATAAAAATTTGAGATAAAAAAAAAAAAAGTTTCCGGATATCCATCTTTCTTTCTCTTCATGTTCTTCATTTTTTTTTTTTTTTTGAAAAATGATCTTATACATCCGTTTATAGATCTATATGAGTCTAAAGAAAGTTTGTCTTGTTTCCCCCCCTCTCTCCTACAATTTCTTTAGTCTCAACTAATTGCTCAGACAAGTAGAAGAATGAATCTCTCGTATTACATCCGTCTAAAATGATAACACATACACAAAAAAAAAAAAGAACTAGACATCCTCATTTTACATTGAAATTACCAAATAGACTTGTTATTTTCTAGAAAATAATGCCAACATTAGATAATATGTTGACAATATGTTATGGATGTCGTACATTGATCGATGATCGTTATTATTTAATGGCTGTTGATCGTAGTTGGCATTTATCTTGTTTAAAATGTTTTGATTGTGGTATGTCACTTGAACAAGAACGAACATGTTTTGCACGATATGGACAAATTTTTTGTAAAGATGATTATATTAAGTATGTTAGAATTTTTTTTTCTTTGTCTTTTAAAAATATATGTATTTTTTTATTTTTTTTATTGTTTTCTAGACGATATTGTTCTCGTGTTTGTGCACGATGTCATACAATTATTCGACAAGATGAAGTTATTCTACGTGCTAAACAATTTATTTTTCATTTAGATTGTTTTACATGTATTACTTGTAATCTTCTTCTTCATCCAGGTAGTCTAGAGTTTTTTTTTTTTTCTTCTATTAGAAATAAAAAAAGAAAAGAAAAAACAATTGAAATCTCATTTTTTTTTTTCTTCTTTTATTTGGATATTAAAGGTGATGAATTTGGTTTAAAAGATGATTTAATTTTTTGTCGTCATCATTTTTTTGAACAACAACAACAACAACAATCATCCTATGAATCACATTTAACAGGACGAGCCATGGATATTGGTATTGAAAATGGATCAATTTCTCATACAAATTCTGTTCCAACCGGTTTTCTTGATGATTCAGGTTATTATACATCACCAATCCCAACACTTATTCCATCAACACCATCAACAAATACAAGTACACAATCAGGAACAACAGTTAATATAACAAAACGTACACGAAAACGTAAAGAACGTCAACAACATCATGAAATAATACCATCATCAGATCATTTCTTAACTCTTTCACCATCTTCATCTAATATGGGTATATATATTAGGTTGTTTTTTTTTTTCTCTTCAATGATTGACAGACATATTCATTGAAGTGAGAATATCTCTTGAAGAGCTTAAATACGGATTATAGACTGCTGTTCAATCGATTATTATACGGAGGGGTTGTGATACTTGAAAATTCATGTGCAATATAGAAATAGAATATGTTGAGTGACCACTTTTAAAATTTCGTTTTTTTTTTTTTTTTTCTTAGTTGGAAATGAAGGAGCATTATTTACATCGTCGTTGGATACATCATATTATGTTGATGTTGTTGATATGGATGGAAATGGTACAAATAATAATAGTTTACATTCACATCAAACAAATAATAATTTATCAAGTGGATCTCATCATCATCATCATGGAAGACAAAAACGTGTACGAACAAGTTTTAAACATCATCAATTACGTTGTATGAGATCATATTTTAATTTAAATCATAATCCAGGTATGAAATTTCTTTTTTATTCAATATTAAATTAATAATTGAAATTCTTTTGTTTTTAGATGCAAAAGATTTAAAAAATCTTGCTGAAAAAACAAATTTACCAAAACGTGTTTTACAAGTATGGTTTCAAAATGCACGTGCAAAATATCGTCGAAGTGTATCTCGAAGTGATACATTATCAACAGCATCTCAACATTCATCAATAGCACAACAACAACAGCAACAAGCTCAACAACAACAACAACAATCATCTCAAGTAAATCAATCATCATCTTTAACAATGACAAATATGATTGATATACATCCAACAAGAGAAGATACAACAAATTCATCAAATTTATCTTCACCAACTGAATCAATTCGTTCAAAAACATCATCGGTGAATTTTAGCGAATCGGAAACATATGGTTCCATGTAGTAGAGTATTGCTTTTTGTTCGTTTGTTTTTTTTTCTTTTTTTTCATATTAATGTTTAGTTTGTATGTTGTATAGAAATCAAACAAAGCAAAAAAAAAACTCCGTTGAAAAAAAAAAACAAAAGAACTTTTTTCTTCTAGTCATTAATGTGCAGCATATATTTGTGTCTATTTGAGCTTCAGCAAAAAACAAAACAAAGAAAAGAAAGAATATTTATGAATGTTGTTTTTTTTCTCATCGATAAAAAGAACGAATAGAGTTTTTCTTATGTGTATAGACAATCAACAGTTGTGCTAGTAGTTCATGTTATTATTCTTGACAAATTAGCAGCATATATTTATCTTTACTATCCAAGTATTGACCTTTATGTTTAGTGCAGGTGGAATGTCAATTTCTCAGTTACCCGCCCAGCAAGATCAAGAATAACAGAAAAGGTTTCTTCTCTTTCGTGTTTTTTTTTCCTCTCTCTTTCTCTCTCTCTCTCTCATATATTTATTCCAATGTCAATGTTTATTCATGGCGTCATAGTCTTTAATAATATTATTAGACTAGACTCGTTTATCACTTCAATGATAGTCAATACATACTCCTCCTCAGCTACCCCATTTAGATCATATTCAATTATTGTTCACGTTCCAGGACAAATAAAAACGGACAATCGATAGGAAAGATCGACTCTTCTTGTATTACTAATTATTATTTTGATGATCATCTGCATACAAAGTCCCGACATTGACACCTTTTCAATCAGGAGTATGATCAAGGTGATGACATAGCACCTAAATACAATTTCTCCAGAGAAACAAAAAGAAGAATCATTGACTCATCATCAAAGAATACCCAATAGTGTTCTTCTATTTCAATTGTTCTTAAATTTTCTAACTATTGACATAAACTAAGAAAATTCTATTTTTCTTTTTAAGTTGAGTTGCTCTTTTTTTTTTATACCTGACTCGTTTGCGTGTTCGCTTCTTCCTGCAATTAGTTCAATTAAAAAAGAGACAAAAAAAAAACGAATATGCCCACACACACGTGCCTTCAATCTAATAGGGTTACTCTCAACTTTCTACATATACAATAGTCTAGAAAAAGAAAACAACAGCAGTAGTGCCGTTGACAGTGAGCATGATCGTATAGCACAGCAGGAGACGGTATATGAAACTAGCATGCAATGCCAAGTAGAGGAGAGAAGATAAGTCGACAGGAAGATTATATTAAGATGAATGAACATGAAATATCGTCAGAACAAAAAAAAAAAAAAAAAAGAATGTTTTATATTTTTATTATATCGAAAAATTGATCAAATAAATGCGAAAAAACATAAATCCGCCCTAAAATAATTTCTTTTGAATAAATCTCGAAACATACATCCGTCGATGACAATGACCCACCCATTAATTGGCCTTTTCTATTGATATATAACAAAGGAAGTTCGATCTCCTCGTTTTTTTTTTTTGTCATACTTTAGTAAACGATAAGTATGCGTGTTTGAGTCTTTCTCTCTCTTTCTCCCTCGTGTTCTATTGATTCAACGCTTATCTTATCCACATCATCGCACATTGTGTCACATATTCATAAATCTGATTCGAATATGAATACTAACAACAAGCCTCAAACATATGGAAAAACAATAAAAAAAAAAAAAAAAAGAGAAATATTTGATCGATTGAACTCTGTTGGATTGCTTCTGTTTAATAATAAAGAAAAAAGAAAAAAAAATATCACAAAAGTGGGTACATAGAATAAGGCGGCATAAGATGATTAAATTCATGTGTATTTATAGTTGACGATGAATCACTATTTTGATTATTATCATAATCATCTAATTCATCAATAATTTCTTCATCTTCTGTTCTACTACGATCATTCGATGTTCCACTTGTTATATCATCGTCATTGATTAATTGTAAAAATTCATTTGTTGTTGAATTATTACCATCAATTGATGTTGATGCTTTTTGTTGTTTATTTTCTTGTTCTTGAATTAAACCTCGACGTAATTTAGCTCGAGCATTTTGAAACCAAACCTAAAAAAAAAACGAGAATTTTTTTCAAAAAAAGAAAAACAGAAAAAACAAAATAAACTTGAACAATAACCTGAAGTACACGTTTACTT